GCAAGCGCTCATTTCATTTTTTGCCGGGGTTCAGGGAACTCGTTACTTGGAGCAAGTATGTAGTTTTGGTTCTGTTTTCTTCTATGCATTTCTGTTTCCCATAGTTTTTTTGAGACCAGCTGCTGTTCTGGGGCTTTGATAATGATCGTCTTACGATAACTCGATTCCCCAGTACTTTTACAGTTCGTTTGTCATCGTACAGCGACTAGTTATAGAGGTGCCACATTTAGATTGTTTCGTGTCAGGATGTTACGCTGTAATGAAGTGCCGATGTTTCTTGTCCAAAACTGTTCCTATGTGTGAGTTGTGTTTGTCCATATGGTTTCTCTTGTACGGCTATCTCCGGTGATACCATTTTCAGATTGTAGTGTCGAATCAAATGTCTGAGCATGCAAGTGCACACTTTGTTTTTTGTTGGCAACCAGTTCGGGAAACTCATCATTTGTAATAAGTATGTCAGTTTTGCTTCTCTTTTCTCTTGCGCATTTGTTAGCAGTTTCCATTTTAGTTTCTTTTTCGAGACTAGCTGCCGTTCTGGGGTTTTAGTAATGATCATCCATAAGAACTCCATTGACCAGTACGTTCACAACTGGTTTGTAATCTTACAGCGTTTAGTCTCAGCAATGCTACATTTAGGTTGTATCGTCATATCAGGGTGTTATGCTGTGACTAGTTGCCCAATTTCTTGCCCAAAACTATCGTTTCATTGTGAGTTGTGGATCTGTTTTTGTGGTTGGCGAATTTGGGTCTTGTGTTCATTGATCTGCTTTCTTGCAGGACACCGACTTTTTGACCTTCTGAAGCCACACACAGGATATGGTGGTCTGAATACCCGTTGTGACTTGCAGAGTAGCTGTCTTTGTGCTTTTCCCTACCACCATATATATTGCCATGGTCCTCACTCACTTCAGTCGCCATTTCTTTCGCCGTTTGCACCTCTTCCTTGCCGTAATGGCGGTTGCATATCTCTGTTGGTCTCTGATCTTTCTTTCTTTCGTTATTTATCTTAGGTCGCGTTTCTTGTCACATATCGCGATTGGTTCGATCATTGATAAAGTGGAAATGTGCGAGTAGTGTTTCTTTACGAGTACATTACTAAGTAGAGTTGCTCAAGATCTTTTTTTGGCGTGCAATGCTTGACTGTAGTTTCATCATGACGTTGTACGTATTTTCGTCCATCCAAATGAAGTTTCACGACTAGTAGACTCAATGAGCAGAACGGAAGTATGACAGTCGTACTAGAATCTTCGGTGCTATTGTATAGTGCCCTAACCCTATGCTTGAGCTCCAAAATGTTACATTTTGATCCGTGCATTTCATTGTGAAACAAAAAGTCACTATAACAGTAGTTAACGGTACTGATGTCATATCTCTTTTTCCCAAAGATTTTTGGTTATTCATGACTACAACAGGTGAGTACGGGTTCCTCGACTAAACTCAACGAACAGAAAGGAAGTATGATAGTCGTACTAGAATCTTCGGTGCTATCGTAAAGTACCCTAACCCTATGCCTAAGCTCCAAAATGTTACATTTTGATCCGTGCATATCATTGTGAAACAAATAAGTTACTATAACAATGGTATGGTACTGGTGATCATATCTCTTTTTTCCACAAGATTTTTGGTTATTCATGACCACAACAGATGAGTACGAGTTCCTCGAATATCTTATTATGCAATATCAATCTCCTAATCCGCTCTCGTATTCACCTGTAAAGTGCGGTTCATAATTATACGAACACCCTAAATTTTGAAAGTTTTTGGACTTTTTGGAAGAAACTCAAAAAGACGTTGGTACCACGCGATAGAGCACAGCCGAAAACGGTGTATGATCCGTAAGAATGGAAATCGATGTCAATCTGAGAAGTGTTTTTAAGCCTAATGCGAATTTTTAGCGGTTCGTAATTATACGAACACCTTGAACAAAGGTCCATTTTTCATTCAAGCTTGCAATCTTTCGAATCCAAATTTTTCGTAGAATTACAGTAACAAAGGCTGACATATCTGCTACACACTGAACCCAGTGCAGCTCGAAAAGAGGATCGTTACTTTTTTCAGATGGTTCTTAATGCTTTTGGAGTGATTGCGCTCCAAAAACATACGTTTTTCTGTGGTTTACGCACTCTAATTAGCTTGTACCAAGGCTATGAGATAAAATAAGCTCTTTCGATAGATGATTTGTTTGACGCTTGAAAAATCTATGCGTTTTTGTACCGTTTTTCAACCAAGTTCCAACCTAACCCTAGAGTTAGCACGATTTCGAGCCTCAAAACTCAGCTTCTCCTTCGCGCAAACATTTGATATAAACCATCTGCATTCCTTGCATGATGATGTATCCGTGCCAACGTTTTTGTGTTTTTTGTAGAACTGATGTTGAAGCTACGGAGCAAAAAACCAAATAAAGTTGTGATTGCAATAGTAAAAACAGTGGTTTTGCTGAAATGACGTCTGCGTGGCCAAAACAAGCGTTCAACGCTGATTTTTTTCTAGCTAAATACATATGTAGTCTTGTGAACTTCTACATACCATCTGCTTACTCCATTGTAGGGCTTCCGAAGCTGAGTTTTGAGGCTCGAAATCGTGCTGACTCTAAGGCAAGGTTGGAACTTGGTTGAAAAACGGTACGAAAACGCATAGATTTTCAAGCGTCAAACAAATCATCTATCGAAAGAGCTTATTTTATCTCATAGCCTTGGTACAAGCTAATTAGAGTGCGTAAACCACAGAAAAACGTATGTTTTTGAAGCGCAATCACTCTAAAAGCATTGAGAACCATCTGAAAAAAGTAACGATCCTCTTTTCGAGCTGCACTGGGTTCAGTGTGTAGCAGATATGTCAGCCTTTGTTACTGTAATTCTACGAAAAATTTGGATTCGAAAGATTGCAAGCTTGGATGAAAAATGGACCTTTGTTCAAGGTGTTCGTACAATTATGAACCGCTAAAAATTCGCATTAGGCGCAAAAACATTCCTCAGATTGACATCGATTTCCATTCTTACGGATCATACACCGTTTTCGAGTGTGCTCGATTGCGTGGTACCAACAGCTTCTTGAGTTTCTTCCAAAAAAGTCCAAAAAATTTCAAAATTTAGGGTGTTCGTATAATTATGAACCGCACTTTATATTGCAAAGAGTCAAATTTTCTCGTGAACACGATCTAAACATGTCAGTAACGAGCCACGCGGTGGTTTCGTCGCACGCGGCGTTCGCAACGCCGCGCCGATTTGCGAGTGTTTATTGTTTGTCGCTGCTTGGCTCGAATGAAATAAGCTGGCCTAGGACCAGAAAGGTATGTTGAAGAGTGAGCTTGTGCCTGTGCTATGACATTCTTATATCGGAAGAACATCGAGCGTAGAAAGTAGACACTTGCAAACTCGGTCCGAAACGTGTTAAAATGAAAGGCCTTGCATTTTTCCGGTTTCCAGGTTTTCGCCATTTCTGAATGGATTTTCGGAATCAGCGCGTCAAAATATCCCAGGTAAGCGAGACTACAGATCGAGGAATTGCCGAGCAACTGCCCTTAACAGGGCACTCAAGAGAGAAGGAGAAGCGGTGGAAGAGAAACTGTGGGCACTCCGGCCATAAAAAGATTTGATCGATCACCAGCTTGGGAAGAGAGGAAACGGGGCACGTGGAAACCGCCTCATATGATAAAGTTTCATAGAAGAGTGACAAGGAACTCTGAAGTAGTAAAATAGCGAGCACCTGGGAGAGGATCGGGGGAAGGGAGGGGGAGGGGGTCGAAGGCAGTGTTCGGGCAAGAAGTCGATTTTGAGATTTTGAGCTTACCTGGGCCTATTCACTGTGCTGAATTCAAAAGTCTACAAGTGAGAGCGCAAAAACGGCAAAAGGGACATTAACGCGGGAGGGATATCAGCAGGTGGACGAGGCCTTCCACTTTTCGAATTCACTCTCCCAGCTTCAGGAGAGATCTTCCCGGTTCCGATTTGAATTCACGCTTGGAATCTGGCCGATGGCAACGTTACGGCGGATAGGAGAAGAAGGATCGCTCGCGAAGCTGGGAGAGCTACTTCACAGGACGGCCTCGCCCACCTACTGTATTCCGTCCGTTAGAGCCCTTTTCACCGTTTTCGCACTTTCCAGTGTAGATTTTTGGATTTAGCATAGCGAATAGGCCCAAGTAAGCACAAATCCTCAAATGTCTGGGCATTGCTTAAGAGAGAGGTGATAGAAGAGCCTTTGGGCACTCACATAAGAAAATTCGGTTTATTACCAATTTTGGGAGGGAGAAAGAATGGGCACCGTGGGACTCAGCACTCTCATTTGAGAAATTTGTGGAGAAAGATTTTCCTGGTCATTTTAGTCAAAAAACTCAAGGGGAAGAGCCTGAGCTATAGGGGAACTCTGTAGCATTAGGAGAGAGAAAAAGTGAAAACGGCGTGAACCATTGGAACCTACCTGGAAGGAAATTTGGAGGGAAGACCTAGGGAAATTTGATTGTAAAAACATTCGGGGATGGTTTTACCCGATTGTTTCTTTGGGCAAACACTTTTCCACGCATACACTTAAATCGAAATCTGGAAGCACGTCCACTGCTTAGGTGTTAATTGAAATGCAGACCGCGAATCTTGTGCACTCCTCGGCATGCAGCATGAGGTCGCGTGGTTCAATAAGTGATTGATAGAAATTCTTCGTGCGTAATCTTTGTAGGCAGGCAAAAACTTCAAGCATCCCAGGAAGTTTTTTGGACGGTGTTGTTGACGCCACGCCTTTTCCACAAATTCACACCATCACAGCAAGCACAAAGAAGATGACTTTTCAATCCAGAACGGAGTGTTCTATCGGAGTAGGAGAAACATCTCAAGTGGAGCAGAGCATCCACACAGCCACTAGCTCAGCGAGATAGATTAGAATGGAGAGGCGCAGACTGCAAAGCGGAGCGAATTGCTAAACGCATTCCCGTCAGTTCAGTTTCCGTCTGAACCGAGTTAAAACTTATGTACTATGTATATATATGTGATTTAACGTTGCCTCTATCCAGGAAAAGTACGTACATTTATGATATCATACAAGAAACAGTCCTTCGAACTTGTAATTGTCCGTTAATTTTTGTTCTTTCAATATAACATGACCGCGAATGTCAAAAGCTGTTATAAAGCTCTCTGTAATATCTTTAACTTCCTTGCTTTTCAAAGCCACTATCAGTTGGTCGTCCGTGCCAGGTATGAAGACAAAGGCCGAAAAGCCGCGATCTGGAGTGAGCTCGCCAATCGTGATTTTTTCAAACGTTGTAAAGGTGGGATCAGCGGTGATCATGATGTTTGCCCCTCTAAATGTCTGCTTTACAGAAAATGAAGTAAAAATTGGAGCCCGCTTCACTTTGTTTCATCAGCTTCCTCATCGTATATGGTTTTTGAAGCCTTCCGTGGAAGGAAAAACCATTTTTGATGAGTTTCAGACCACTGAACTGCTTCATGCGTAAGGTAGCCGGGAGCAGGATAACCCGCAAAATTTCGAACTTTTGTGAATTCATTTCTCCAGTCTATGTGCTGCACCTAAACAGACTTGGATAGTTCCACTTTGTTCTAAATTTGAAAAATTCTTTCGTTACCTCTCCCCTTTCTGTAATTGTTTTGATCCACATGTTGTCCTCGTTTTCAATATTTCCATCGTCGTCTCTATATTCCTGCAAGAAGATATTGTTCACAATCTTGCGATGACTTGTACTCCTCTATATTGCAAGCTTACAAGACCATGCCCTCCCGCGTACAGTATTGAATCTTTTAATGTCAACCACTCTATTTTCATGCCCTGTGTAGAGTTTCCAGATCCAGAGCTAAGAATAACCCAAGGCACTGCCTGAACATAAGCTCCAAAGATTATGAGATTATGTCTTACAAATTATTAGCCGTTTCATAAACACCTTATCATTTTCGATTGCAAAGATGATTCCAGTTTTGTCATCAGGGGCTAGTATGTGACCGTTGAACTTTACTAAATCTGACATTTCCATGCCTCTTCCTTTATAGCTGTATAACCTGAACACAGCATATGCGATTTTGAGTAGAAGTTTTCAAGACAACGTACGACTGTATGTGAACATCAGATTTGCGCATCCATTCCACTTGAGCTTCTTGCCAATCAGGGCTCAAAAGCAAAGTTCCCCTTCTTCTCACCGCTTCCCACTGGTACTTCTCTATTCTCGCTTTTTTATCCGAATCAGTGATGACGATTAAGTCAAAAGCAGTTGGACGTTTGGACGTTCCACCAATGAAGGGAGCACTTCTGACAGCCTGGGAGTATGATTGCTTCTTTAAACGATAAATGACGTCCAATCTGGAGTAAAGCTTGAGCTTGGAACAGAACACTAATTGGTTGCAATCAAGATAGATATATCTCCCTCATTCAAATACTCAGACCACCACAGTAAGACTACAGGAAGGCACAGATAGTCTGCGGTCAAACTCGATGTCATTTTTGGGGGTAAAAAGCAAAGGGGATATCGATTTGGTCCGGGCGGAGACCCTAAAAAAATAGGCAGCTACTGCGCGTTGAACGTTGAACGCAAGCGCGTGAATTTTTAAATGCAACACTCAAAAAGCAAATGGCTTGTTCACAGTCACATCACACCGAATCGATACAATATTACTTTTACGTTATGTAAAAGTTCGAAAACTTATGTTTTCAGTACCCATTTCCGATTTTGTTGGTTCTAGGCCAACATCAAACCAACTGGGTTGGTTTGGAGTATGAATATCGGAGAGTTGACATAACTTTTGAACCATTTTTATTTGAGCGATTAAAAAGCTTTATTATCATACAGTGAAGGAAGCAAATTAAATCATTGTCCCTTTTTTTAGTGCCAAAAATAGCGAAAACATACGCATTGATGAATTTCGCTCTCCAAACATGCGTCCAATAAGGTGCCTTTTTCATTAGCAGAGCTTTTAATCAACTTAAAATATGTTTTTTTGCTTTATGTTGTGGTAAGTACCTCAGAATATGTTCCTTTGCTTGGTTTGTTACGTTGATTGCAAAGATTTTCCCACTGGTTTTAGGGTCAAAGGGGGACTTCGTAGTTGCGAAGTCATTGGGACTTCCTTTACAAAAATGCCAAACAAACGCGTTACGGGCTGTGATCCCTATCTCGAGAGTCTCGCACTTATCCCAACACTGGCTAGCTTACCCGGCTCCGCCCGGCCCTGCCAAGACACTATAATAAAGGCGTTGTACAGGGATAGACGCCTTCAATAGGCGCCTATTCCTGTACAACGTACAGACAGACAGACAGACAAACAGTCATTCAGTTATATATAGAAGATCAGCACCCTAGGGTCGCTAGTAAGTGGGTTGGGAATACATTGATAGCTGTCTGCTGCAACTAAGAATGCAAGGGACCGAATTTCCATTTTCTCAACGATCTTTGGCGCAATGTAAGTAGTAGAAAAAAGCAAGATCATGCTCTCAAGGAAACTTTTTACAGTGAGAAACTCCCAAATCATCTACGCTGTTCTTCTTGCAAATACCCTACCCCAGCAGTGGCGGGGGGGGGGAGACAAAAAATTTTTTCTTATGGCTAACGCCACGCACCAAGAAAAAATTTTTGGTAACTTTCGCGGGCCCATAACCCCAAAGCCCCCGAAAAAAATTTTTATAAGGCTAAGTTGGAATTTTAATAAATGTCAAAAATTATTTGAATTATTTACAGGTGCAGACAAGTCATTTGCACGATTTTATAACCCTAAAGTAACTTTCAAAAATTTCGCAACCGAGCCCCCCCCCCCCCCTGCTCCCCCACTTCCCCCTCGGTACGCCACTGTACCCCAGGTACCACAGCATCTAAACATGAGAATAACCTGAGCAGTCGTCTATGTAGAACAGCTTATTCAACCCGAAATTTTAGCTGACTCTCAGGAACTGTGCAACGGCCGCAAACACACCGATCTTCGCAATCATGCACACTCCCATGCTCTCCTTATAATGTCTCGCGAAATCATTTCTTAAAGGAGACCAAAGCTCGCTCAAAGCTTTCTCCTGGACAATCTTAGCAAAAATGTCCTGCCGCATGCAACCTTGTCTTCCTTCCCCAAAGACCAACATTCTCTTGCTTATTTTGCTTTTAGGGGCAGATTTTACAATTCTCGCAATGTACTCAGATAATCGCTGGGGGCAGGCGGGCACCGGAAAAATAGTTTGCTGATCTCTCGCACCCCGCTCGCGGATTTTTTGCAAAGCAATCAGGACTTTTCGGAAGACCGCTTGCTGAATTCTCGATTCCTCAGAGATTCAGCAATATATCTGCAAAAGATAAGAGCGAAAAAAATTCAACAGGCGGTCTCTCAAAAATCCGCTGACTCAGCGAGCGGTCTTCCGAAAAGTCCCGATTGCTTTGCAAAAAATCCACGAGCGGGGTGCGAGAAATCAGCAATCTATTTTTCCGGTGCCCACCTGCCCCCCGCGATTATCTGAGTAGAAGGAGCCAAAAGTGGATAGCGACCTTTCGTATAATCTAGCACTAAAACTAAGAAATTCTCAACAGAAATGTTTGCCGCCTGAAGCACTTGGAACTATCCTTCTTTCAAAACCAAGCTCCCTTTGCTTTTTTGCTAAAGGTGGCAGAAGTATGATTTCTGCGAAGTAGAAGTGGAGTTCAAGCATTTTTTTCATAATTTGGCGTTGATTTTACCGCATAAGCCTTGAAATCCCCCCCCCCCCCCTCCCCTCGAGACCAAGCCCACTTTGTTTCTTTGTGAGACAGAGAATGATTTCTGCAAAGTAAAAGGGCAAAAAATGGGTTTCAAGCGAGCTTTTGTATTAGCATTGAAACTGAGAAATTCTTAACACAATTGCACTGCGCATGAAGCCCTGGAGCTTTCCTTCCTTCGAGGCCAAGCTCCCTTTTTTTTTCCAAAGCAGAAGTATGATTTTTGCAACGTAGAAGCGGTCAAAGTGGATTTCGAGCAAGTTCTTGTGAGATTCAGCGCTGAAACCTAAAGAATTATATCAAAAATGACCTGCGGCATGAACACATTGAGTCTTTTCTCCCCTTGGGACCAGCTCCCTCCGCTGTGCTGTTTTTATTGGCAAAACTAGAATTCACAAAGTAGAAGCAGCCAAAACGAATGTTTACCAAGTTCAGGTAAAATTTGACATCAAAATCTGATACAACCCGAAACTAGGGCTGATTTTCAGGAACTGCGTCATGTCTTAGAAAGCTTCCACGACAGAAAAACCCAGACACCTAAATTTTTCATAGCGGCTTTCACCAAATTTCGTAAAAGTGTCCCCGAACGAAAACAGTGCTCTGCATGATTGCAAAGATCGGTGAGTTGAGGAAGAGAACTGAGAGAGCTCATTGCTTATGCATTAAGCTCTCTCAGTTCTCTTTCTTCTTTTGAACGCTTTTCTCCACGTTAGCTTTTGATTACCTGTAGCGATTCTGAAAAATATGGAGGTTGTTCACCTGGGTAAAGGAGCCTTATGGAATTTTTCTCAAACAATTCTCAACAACAAACAAATCAACTATCGTGATCATGCACAGCTCTACACTTTAATAATGTCTCCCAATACATGAGACATTTCTTATAGGAAGTCTAAGACTTGCTGAAGCTTTCTATGGGGTAATGTAGCAAAAACGTTTTGCCGAATGAAGCCCAAGCTCTATCCTTCTTTTGAGATTAAGCCCCTTTAGCTTTTTTGCTTTTGGGAGCAGAAGTATGGTTTTGGCGAGGTAGGAGCGGATAAAATGGATTTTAAGAGGTCTTTCAAATCTTAGCCTTGAAAACAAGGAAATCCTAGCAAAAATGTCCTGCGGCAGTAACGACGCTATGGGTCGCTAGTAAGCCGGTTGGGGCAGATACATTGATAACTGTCTGCGGGCAACTAAGAATAGCAAGGAGCTGAACTTTCATTTTCTCAACGATCTTTGGCGCAACGTAAGTACATAGTAATGGAAGCAAGATCATGCTCTCAAGGACACTATTTACAATGAGTAATTCCCAAATCATAGCAGATATGGAATGCGGTTTAGAGATCACCGTCTGGGGACTTCTTGCAAATACCCTCTCCAAATACCACAGCTCCTAAACATGGGAATCACCTCAGCAGTCGTCTATGTAGAATAGCTGATTCAAACCGAAACACTCAGGAACTGTGAAACGGCCTAAACACACCTGCCTTTGCATTCATGCGCAGTCCTATACTCTCCTTATAATGTCTCGCGAAGTCATTTCTAGTTGGTAAAAATGTGTTCCTGTATGGAGTTGTTGAGACTTTCCTTTCAACAGACCGAGCTCCCTCTGCTCCTTTGCTTTTAGAGGCAAAAACGATATTTTCACAATGTAGAAGCACCCAGAAGTAAGTTTTGAAGGTTTTTGTGGAATTCAGCACTGAATCCTAGAAATTTAGCAAAATGTTCCTAGGAAATTAGCAAAGTGTACTGTCGCATAAATTGATTGATTCTTTTCTTCCAACAAAACGTAGCTCCCTCTATTTTTTTGTTTCCCGAGGCAAAAGCAATATTTTCACGAAGTAAAAGCACCCAAAAGCGAGGTTTCACAATTCTCGTAAAACTGATGAATTATTTGCAATTTTCCTAACCTTCATATTCCTTTAAAATCATAACGTTTTCTCGAAAACTAATTCTTATTGTAAGAAGCATTAGGCTGAGGGCGACAGTTTTCCAAATTATGATAGGAATTAGGGGGCAGACATTCGCACTAATTCAATAGTCTAGAACCAGCGCTTCGTTGTTGTTTGAGCTTTGTACATGAGAGCACTCTGGGGATGATCTTTGATGATTTTTTTTCGACATTGCCCATATTTGCACTTTCCATCAGAGCAAGCTCCATCAATTGCACTTAAAGTGCATACACTTTGGAAACTGACTACGATTACTGTCAACAGCTTACGTCGCTGTTATGCAAGCCATATGGATCCTTATTGAGTGCCGCGCATCATTACTATCTCGGCTAGGCGGGGTGTTTCTCTGCGCATCCTTGTTAGTTCATGCGTCGCAGTTATATTTCGTACGCATATTCTGGACTGCCCTCTTATCGCGAATCTCTTCTTAACACTGTAAGAGAACGCCTAGCATAACAGTAAAGCATAGGGAGAGGAGAGTACTCCCCCCCGTCGCTCGTGTTGAAAGATTCCGAAAGATATCATAGTAAGATTCGAACATCTGATTACTCTAAAAAGCAGTGGCTTGGCAAAAATGAGCATCTGAGTTTCGATATAGTAAGTCCCATACACCCTCAATATGGAAACAGATCAAGTCCCAACGCACAGTTGCTCTTACCAAGGAAAACTGCCCCACCAAGTGCGCGCAAGCCAGTATTACAATTACTCGAACAAGCTCTCGAGTTCTCTCCCACTGTCGGAGGCAGCATGCCATAACCGCTATGACTATGAGGGTCTCGCAACAGTTCTGCGTCTCCAACCTTGGCGAAAACCGCCACCCTTCAGATTCAAATGGAAGGCTATGAGAAACGCTGCTTTGCCATTTCCAAGCTCTATAATGTGGATTGGGATCACCGCGTCGGATCACGCCATGTGAACGAAACTTAAGTTCAAGGATTTGCTGAGCCACTGCTTTCAATGATAAATTAAACAGTTCTCGGTAGTTTTTTCCCAGGTATATATCAAAATCCTGCTAATAATAAAGGATATAGTTTATATAGAACGAAGCTCATACTATAGTTTATACCAGTTGAAAAGATCGAGTGTTTTTACAGTATTCGATTGCAAGTGTGCTCTGTTTAGTACCGGGCAATGAGAATTGAGACTTCAAGAAAATCTGAGTAACAAACTGCATCGTTCTGCTATGTCTTACCTCATTTCCGTATCTATACGCTCTTGCCCGCAATAGTGCATGTTGTATCGCATCTGCAAAAGAACTGTTACATGACCGTCTAGGTTGAACTTGGATTAGGTGATAGTATGATCAAAGCGTCCACGTTTACATCTATTTGTTGCGCTTAATCGTAGTATATGATGTTAATTGAGCCACTATTTTAGTTGAGACACTTGTCATACAGGAATGTTGAATTAAAAGTGACAATTATGTTGTTTCGATTTATCGATGAGTCAAGCTGCACCGGTGGAGTCATTCTTTTCAGAATTCTAGGCATATACCGCTTACAAATATAAAAGCTATGTGGATGGCATTGTGCTCGTTAGTTTTTTTTCCCAAAAATGCACCTCAAAACCACTTCAGTTCTTTTGCAAAAAATATAACTAGTCAAAATTTTCACTCCTCTCCTTTAACTGCAAATAAAGATTCAAACAAACCTTCATTTTCTGACAAGACGCTGGCAATCAAAACAGCCTAAAAAGTGCAGCTTTACTAAATTATATATGCCTCAACTTATAAACCAAACCTCAATGGCGAGTAGAGTTTGCATCTTTCCATAAAATTTCGCAGTGTGGAGAGGTCCGATAATAAAGTAGAATCTCTATTACTCTACATTCTCTCGTGGCCGCATCGTACGTGCATTATGATTTTGAAAGTGATTAAGTCTTGGTTTATCAGAGAGAGTTCTGCGAAAAAAATGACGGATGCATCGCTACTATGTTCAGTGACTCTATATTGATCTCCTAAAACCAGAAACCAAAAAAAAATAATCCAAGATTAACTGTGTACAGATAAGCGACGGTTGTCAATAAAGCTAGTCTTACGCCCTGTACAAGATGCCTAACCTTTTTATGATCCTAAAGCGCTCCGAACACTCAAAACAGTTAGTAAACAGTGGAAGAGGGAAGCGTGACGTTGCGGTATGAGGCCCCCTGTGATCACGTCGGATTAATGTTCGATACCGTTACTGAGTCAACAAAGCTCTCGTACCCTCCGGGGAAGGTGAATGGTACAAAATCTTCGAGGATGGTATAGGTTGTTTCAAAATTTCTGTCCAATTTGCAACTATCTGATTCAAAATGTCGCAACTCATTTTAAAATCGACATTTTTTTGACAATTTAAATATTGCTGGATTGGGCGAGATTATGGCTGTCACATAACCAGCATGTCATGCGAGAAAGTCAAGTGAAAGAGGAGAGAAGATCGAGAGAATTTTGCAAGATTTAATTCAAAATCGGCTAATTTGACATATTAATGCTCTCAAATAAGGCTAGGCAGGCATATCTGGCTGCCATAAACAAGTAGCCCATACTTCAGAAATTATATAACGTTACACCCTCAATTATTATAAAATATTAGATAGGTAGCCTTGCAAGCACTGCCTAAAATCTCGCTACAGAAACTGCTTTTTTACCATAATTACATTTTTGATATCTCATCTTCAAGGCGTGAAAGATTCCTCACTGAAGATCTATTTCTCGAAATCATTAAGCACTGGAAAGAGCGAGAAAAATATTCTAGATGAATGCTTCTGCTTCTTCGACCACGAAAAAGGATGCATCAGCGCATGTCTGCAGAGGTTAATGAAGACGCCGAATTTTTAACTTTTACCCTAATAAACGATAGAAGACATATAGTGGTGTATTGAGGAGAAGATGTTTTTTGATGAATTTGGATCCCATCCTCAAGAAAAGAGTCTAGTAGCATACGCTACATGAGAAAGAAATCACAATATCAAAAAAAATTAAATTATTAATTTATAATTACCCTGGCAATCATTTTTAGCAGAAACGTGAAGATTGAGCAGCGCAAATAGGACACTTAAGAGAAAGGGTATATGCGCGATGCTATCATGTCGTTATTTGATTGATTTTTACAAAACATACAGCATTTCCATATTTGACGCGTTAAAATATGTGCTGTTCAGTCTTACTCCGCCCAGTTTCAACTTGAAAAAACGTTCTATTTTGCTTTTTTGTCTAAAAGCCTTACCTGACTATAAATCTTCAAACTTGGATGGTTATTTGTAAAAACACTTGAAAATAAATGACGAGCATGCTGTGACTTTGATACCCTTCAACATCAAAGGAGTCAGAGTAAGTCAAGTTTCTCTGCCTCAATCTATTTCTCTCTGTACAAAGCAAAGACCAGGCACCCGTGTGGATAAAAATAACAATAGAAACAAAATGACATGAAATTTGGAATCAGACTATCACCTTCTTCACTTGTACTAGTCTAATTCCTACTTTGATACCATCAGAAGAGAGTATATGTAAATCCAAGCTAAGATTAGTACTATTATTGGTATTATGGAATTCCTAGGGAAAAAAGCCTTTTGGCAGTCTTCCATTTTTGCCATTTAAGGTATGTCTCCATTTACGGTGCAACATAGACATCTCTTTGATTTTTTTATCAACCGTCAAGATTGTGAAATAAAAAGTATGTGTCGTAGTAAATACACGTAAATTCCAAGCTTTTTCGTATTCTCTTGGCAAATTCTTTGAGTAAGTCCGATGGAATATTATTTCCTCAGCAGCCTTGGGCTTACATAGCCATGGCCATAGGGATCCGTCATACTTCGCCGAAAAAACGCCCAAGAAGCCCGAAAAAGCCAAAAAAGCTCAAAAGAGTCGAAACGTCCCTTCCGTTTTGACGCTAAATGTGTTTGGTTTCGCAACCGAGTCTTTTTGCTTCATTTTCTGTCGTCTGCAAATCAAAATAATTTCAGGATTCTACCAACGTTTCCGTTCCGGCTCTTTCGGGCTTTTTCCGGCTTCTTCTGGCTTTTTTGGGCTCTTTTCAGGCTTTTTGGGGCCTTTTCGGGCTTTTTTGGGCGCTCTTGGGCTTTTCTCGGCGAAGTATTACGGATCCCATAGAGTTTATCGACCAAGTCAAAAACGAATTCTGCAGTTACGAATAGATTTGACTTCGTTACATCTAGCACAAGTTTCTACAGAAACTCCCTCTCTCAGGCTCAAGTATTCCATCAGCTCAACAAAACTCAAACAATCGGCGTGTTCACGAAGATACATGGCGGTCACAAAAGTAGATTAGGTCGTCGTTTTGCATTTATCTCGCATTTCACAGCTTCTATCGTGATAGATCAGTCTCAAATGCATTAGTTTAAATCGACGAAAAAAGAGCATACTGATAAGCGAAAGTTCACCTTGTAAATGACTAGATGTGAAGAATAATCCGCCGCAAAAACAAATGTTTCCAACAAATTTTCATGCGCTTTACGAGAATGTTCGACATTATTGAGACAACGTACGTAATAAAAATATACGCAGCTACTAAAGTTTGCCACATCAACTGATTCACTTCTTCAGCTTTTTATAGAGCGCAAACATGAGGATCTCATTTCGCTCAAGATGTACCAACTTTAAGATAAGATGTCTGTTTTTTTTTTCTGTGGCAACTGTGTAAATGATAAGTCAGAGTTTGTGCTGTTGTAACGAGTGAAACTGGGTAACCCACAGCTTTGTTCAACACCTTCCATCAATTACATAATCACATCCTGATACCTAGCAGTACCTGGAAAAATGTTTGGACAAAATCAAAGGACCGACTCCAAATGCGATGCGATGCGATGATTGCCCACTTCCCGTAACCTTTTCTCATAATCCTCTTGCTTTTTTTTGAGAGCTGCCGAAGCGCGGGAAGTAATAAAGTGAGAAGTAAAAAAAAAAGTCTAGAAAATTACTTCCTGATCACGTGCAAGCAAAAACTTGAGGATGCGTCAAAGCGGAAAAATTTTTATTGCACTATAAGCTATATAGAAAGCGACGACAACGAGGGGTGACACTGAACGACGTCTCACGCCTTCTTCGCTTTCTAAGCGACTTCTACAGATTTTCTTGCGGACGGCAGAATGCTTTGGCGTTCATCTTTCACCTTCTCGCGTATGATTCGAGTCTTTGAGAAAGTGTGTTCCAAGTCGAACGTCTCTGCTTCCCATTCGAAATACGGTTCTTGGCTCACTGAATGTAAATAAAGGATTCTGTTGGATGAAGCATCCACTGCGGCTCCAAGGTGATGTGCTGATTTGATTTTTTTCTTTGCCGCTATATGCTCAGACAACCGACCGGAACTTCCGCAGAACGTTTAGGAAAGTTTCTCCGGGTCATTTGCGAAAGCCCCGTAAACGTGCTGCGGAATTTTTAAAGAATGCGAACCACAACACAATAGAGAATACCTAAGCGAAATTCGAACCCTACTTTATTGACTGTGACACTCATCTACTAACATCGCAAGCAAAAGGAAAGATCATCCAGTTCACTTTGATTCAGATTCATCGTGAGCTTCTTAAAGGCAGCGTCCAGGCAGATCTGGACCTATGGGGCTTTTACATGGAAAGTACTTTTGGGGCCTTAACTAAGGCACCGCCCAAGCGGCAGCTCAGGTAGTGCCCTAATGGCTGAGATATTCTCCTCGAAACTGGCCCCCGCGACCGTGTTTCGCATGGATTCATGGCGCAAAGCGTGGATCCTGGCGCGAAACTGCCATGAATCCATGCGAATACGTTCGCGGGGGCCTGTTTCGAGGGGAATATCTCAGCCATTAGAGCACTACCTGAGCTGCCGGTTGGGCAGTGGCTTAGTTAGGGCCCCAAAAATACTTCCCACGTAAAATCCCCATAGGTCCAGACTTGCCTGGACGCTGCCTTTAAGAAATGATAAGACCAATTCAAGAACTATTTTTTACTGTGTGTTAACTGAATGATTTATCAGCTTTGGAGGCTCCAAAAACATCGTTTAATCTCGTAATGTCAGGGCAGAACGACAGCATTCTAACAATAAGACAACATGAAGTATGCACAAACAAAGGACGAAAAGAACTGATATCAATCAAGGTCGATTGACTTTGTAATTAACATGCTTGAATGTTCGATTCTAATAGCTTTATTGTGCGAAGAATTACAGTCTTAACGGTACCCTCTTCAAAACTTTGCATTAATACCCTCAATCTCAGACAATCCCCCGGAACTTCCGCAGGACAAGCAAATTTGCAGCTTCCGCAGGATTTTGTCTACTACTGCAAAAGTGGAGACATTTAAAATGCGGACTTCCGCATTATTTTCACGTCACATTGGCTGAAACTTGCGGGAACTTCCACAGGACGTTCTACAAAGCTCTGCGCAACTTCCGAATAATGCCAGCGGTTTCGCAGCGCTTTTACATACCAGTATTCCGCAGGTTTTTGAATGTGTAGTCTCTTATGAGTTGCCTCACCAACAATTAGGTTATGTCGAACATGAAATCCATATTGTAGAGGAAAGCAAGTGAGTAGCGCAGTCGAGCAAGGTTCGAATCTCTCAGTTGTTCTCTTTTGCTGTTGTGGTCGCATTCTTCGGAACTTCCGTAGCCCTCATTTGGGAACTTCCGCAGGTGACACGGCGGAACTTTCTCAATTTTGCAGAAATTCCTGTCATTTGAGATACTATCATTGAGCGGAATGATTTCAATACAATGCTGACGCAAAACATGTGCCATTTATTAGGTTCGCTGAAAATACAATGAGAATATATGTACACAAAATGGAGTTGATGGCAAGTACTGCCATCTGACACTGCTGAGTGATCTTTTACCCTTACTCATTCTATTTGAGTGCGTTTGCAAGGTTTTTTAAGTTCGCCTATTTGCCTCCTGCCATTGCTCCAATCATTGATCCCACCATCGCTCCGTGTATCGCTCCTCCGACAGGATCTATAGGGAAGCAAAATTTATTTCGATATAAATAGCAGAAATTAGTGAAACACTCACTGTATCCATATCCCATCATTCCCATGCCCATAGGCATCATACCGTAACCGTACATACCGGGATACATCATATACTGAGGTTTTGCATCGAGTTGGAGTGAGAAGAGCAATAGGAAAACAACGATTCGTAGCATTCCTGGGCTTTATCTGCATATGTAAAATAATGATTTTATTGTTGAAGGTAGCTGAGAAATATGAGGTGGGCACAAAAATTCTGAAGCAGAAATTTCAAAAAAAAGCTCCAGAAACTCGCATAAATATCAAATTATTGTGGTTTTTCTCACTACTTTTTCACTCTTTTGCATTTTTCTCCAACATAACACTACATAGAGAAGCCTGCTCAGCACAAACTTTGCTCGCACGAAAGGAGCAGTTTTTTTTAATTCTTAGCGACTATTTCAAAGACCCACTGTAGCTTTGGAAACTTTCAACGAAAGAATGATAAGATGGACTAGTATTTTCTCACACATATTTGATCTCTGATACTTATTCTTGGAAAAAAGTTGCTCGTAAGCTGTTACAAACCGTTTGCGTAAATAGATTTACGTTCGTCAAATCGGCAATGTGATCCATTTGTTTCAAATTCTCGAATTCTGAGTAAGGATGAGACAGTACGCTGCCAGTTTAATAGTACATTCACTTAAGATAAAGAGAAACAAAAGCTTGAGGTAGAGACTTAGAGAAGAAAGAAAAATGCAAATGTCCGCAGTAACAACAGCAACGATGCCATCGCTGACCTCGCCATCTGACCCACGTACGCCAAGAACGAGGCCGACAGGTTTGATATCTATGGCTGATAGTGTTCTTATGCCATAATTCGATAATAGAGTAACGCAACACAGATACTGAGAAGCTTTGCAAAAAAGTACGTCAGTGTACGTTAGTTGTATTTAAAGATTTCCACCCTACTTATTTGAGTTAACGAGAGCTAAATGGGCAGAGTGCTAAAGAAACATGCTAAGCTATATTCCATCTGCCGATACTTAAAATTATCATGCATCTGCAAGGATATTCAACGAGATGGAAGGAAGAATTGAGACAGAAATGCAGAGAAAAGAGAGAACGAAAGCAAGAGACAGAAAGGAAGAATTCAGAGATGGTTGCAGTGAATAGGAGTATGAAATGATTGTGATAGAAATGGCTTTTTCTTTGAATTTCACTGTACGGATATTTGGAAGTGTTCAGCGATTTTCAACTTACATGCTGCTCATGAAACCTAATTTATAACGACTATGTCAACAGTTACTCTAAAGAAATGCAGTGGCCATATAGAAGATTAACTAGCTCGAAGTTTGAATGTCGGTCTCATCGAAGTGTGTTTAGCTACGTATACGAACTCCAGTTGTGATAGAGTCAATGTTTTTGGCCAAGTAATGCTTTAACTAGGCGTCGACTAGTTGAGACTTACTTGCAAAATCGCTATAGCATTTTCTTATGAACGGCGTTGCGATAATGAATTTTCTTCTTTGGGTGAATGGAGATAAATACCTAGTCCAAGGGTTGCTTATCCCTACTTGCGGCGTTTAGCGTCATGTTTTCTCTCATCTTTGAGGTGCATTTACGATCTGCAACCCAAAAAACAAAGTGAGGGCAACTCATTGAAAACGTCCTCATAAGGACCATATTTACTACTGCTGTAGGCCATCAGACAGCAAGAATAGGACAGTAGTACCAACACCGATCAATTCTCGCTTCATACTCGGTTCTTGACATATGTCCTTCATTTATTCCAAGAAAACAAACAATTGTGTTGGGAAAAATATAAATGCAATAATTTATGGTCGTAATCATCTATCGACCTCCAGCCAAGGCTCCTATCATCGACCCAAGCAATGCACCACCTACCACTCCACTAGCTGCAGGATCTGAATGGTATAATTATCACAAGTTCACATGAAAAAAGCTAACGAAATAACTTACTGTATCCTACGCCGCCGTATGGCACGCCTACCGGTCCTACAACTCCCAAAGGCCCGTAATCAGGGTAAAGTCCGTACTGCGGCCTTGCTTCTAGCAGGATGGAGAAGCAAAAAAGTAAAACGACACATTTGAACATCTGAAGCAAGAAAATACGGAAAAAAATCTATGTATCGGAAACTACTATAAGAGGATCAAAAAAGTGGTCTTTTGATAAGAAAAAATTTTTGCTGAAAAAGCTATCAATAAACGTATGTCAGGAGGAGGACTATTGTGAAATTACGCTGAATAGCGGACAGAGCGATGATTTCTCATCTCTCTAAATATTCCGCGTTTATACGACAGAGCTGGGAGACCTGATATATGGATTGATAAATGTCTCATGAGATTTTGAACACTCAAAGATCAGCTCCCACAAACGAGCTGCAATGGGGATGTGGGTATTTTTTGCATCTCCATTACGTTTTTCCGCTCATGTTGACTTGAGAAGTTTGTGAAAACAGTCAGTTTTGGCAGTCAACATTGGGAATATTGAGGAACAAAACATCATGTCGAAACAAAGTGCTAATCACTCCATTGCAAATGACGAATACGCGACAACACTGCTTTTAGATGTCAGTGTGCCCGAAGAAAATAACTGTGGCAAGAGCAGGGATTCTTGTTGACTTGTCTTTCATATGCCTGACCGCTGGATGGTGGTTGGTGGAGGAGGGGGGGGGGGGGGGAGAGGGGAGAGAGAGGCGGGGGGAGGGGAAGCTCTGAGCATTGAAAGACCGAACCGATTTGCACACATTACTGACTCTTCGGAATGCATTCGAGCTCAAGAGATTCAACTTGGTGACCACCGCCACAGATTCCTTTTTTCAAAAATATCTCAATAGTTCACGATTTTTTCGAATTTCGAACTGCCAACCTCCTGGATCAATTTGCGACTGTAAACAAAAATAATAGCTCCAAGGCCAGTAGGGTATCTTTCCTAGTATCGCATAGACTACGAAAGAGTAGTTAGTGTGAGCATTAGGGAGAGCATTTTCCCAAGGTGATGTAAATCTTTCCCACCCTTACCGCCGACACCCAGCAGCAAATCTTTCCATCTCTTACAATCTTTGTGCATGCCGACTTTCAGGGGTCAGGGGTCACTGAGTGTGTGTAACTGATACGCTGTTCTGTTTTTGGTAAATCGTTCATACTGTCACCCTATTTCTCTAATTTTTTTACATTGATTTTCTTTGATGATTCTTAATCTGCCTTCTCAGCTTTTACTTATTTGCAGACATTTTCCACATTGTCAATGCTCCAAAAAAATTTCGCAATTATTCTTCTGGCTGCTCTCATCTTCAATGTCGAATCGCAGTATTTTCCTGGTAGCTATGGCGTAGTAGGACCAAGACCATTTGGCATGATGGGTCCATATGCAGGGACAATGGGTAGTGGTCCGATGGGAATGATGGGAGGATACAGTAAGAATTCAAGAGCTCTACCTTCTTCTACCATAATAGGAGTAACAACTTAGGCCCCTTACGAGGAGCAATAAAAGGAGCTGTCGTTGGATCGCTGATCGGAGCCGTACTTGGAGGGTGATCGCGCCCCGATTTACTGTAAATTTAAGTTATAAACGTTATTGCGAATTGTTGCAATTTATGACTTTTTTATCACAATAAAACTGAGAATTACTTTTTGTTGACTCATGAACTGTGCCGACAAAAGAGCATAAAAGCTGCTTTTTGGATTTTCGTCTCATCTAGTTCATCTGATCTGAGGAACGTCTGCTACTCATTGTAAATAATACTGAAGAATATAAAGTTTGAAGAAGAATATAGAGTAGTTTTCCCCTTCTTTGAACCTCTTCTAAGCGAGAAATAATAGAGGCTAAATTCTGAGGGACACTGGGGCCACGAAATCCATGTCATATTCTCCTCTCTGAATGCCTTTCGATGCAATCGGCGAACGAAAGCATGAGTAATTTATTACTTATTTGTCGAGATCTCAGATTCAACAATATGTTATTATATTACAGCCTACAAACACAAGCGCAACATTGGTAAAGCAACTGATCATTGCACAATAAAAAAGTTCATCCCTCTAATTCCAGTCTGCAATGTTTTACATAGGGTCCCTAAGTAGCGAGTATGGTGTATATTATGGTCACCTTTGATCAACGTTGGAAAAAGCTTGATTGGAGCTTTCTAACGGTGTGCTAAATCCGTCTTGACAAGGAAAATGACGAAAAAAGCCGTCCAGAAAGCCGTCTTGTAGAGCACGAATTCTTATACCATATAGTATGCCTATGAGAAGTTCCATAATTCTATTACGGCATTTGTAGAAAACCGTTTCAATGGCGAAAGGGACCATGATAGGGGTTTGTGATAAAAAGCAAAGCTACCCCTCTCAACTTTCTCGGAAGCCCTAAGCATCAGCAATAAAAAGAGAATGAAGTGACTAACAGGATGGCTTTGCTTTTCACTATTATTGTAAGATCTCAAACGAAACGTTAGGGAGTTTCCCCAAAAACTTGAAAACAGAATGGCTCCCAATAACATATAATATCAAACTGCACCTGAAACTTTGCAATTTGCGAATTATTCCTCTGCATGCATTCTTGGTAGTTCTCAGCAGATTGCTTGTCTTAATCCCTATGCTTCGCTAAGTTTAACAAAACGATCACTGATCTCTCGCTTGAGATACGGGTTCTTATAACGGGTTTCATGTTTGCTTCGAAATCTTTAAAATTTCGCGACCTTGCGAAGGGCATCCTTTTGGATGTTTTCACTTTTTTACACAGTTACACTTGATGACTCTCACTATATAAAATCAACAACACGCAGTCGCCCCCCAATTCTTGACATTGTTTTCGGTATATAAAGCGCTATTATTTGTAGGAATTTTCGTCTCTTATCTGCTCTTAAAATGTCTTCGTTTATACGCTTTCATTAGTTTTGGTGATATACTTTAGAAAAGCAATGCTTGTAAAACTTCTCCTCCTCGCTCTCCTGACGGTGGTCCAAGTCAACACAAAGCCACAATTTGGTCCTGGCATGTATGGAGTCATGGGACCATCACCTATGATGAATCCGTACGGAATGAGTGGCATGGGCATGATGGGACCTATGGGAATGATGGGAGGATACAGTAAGCAGTCAGACATCTCTTGATGTACGCAAAATGCTTTGTATTACTTTTAGGTCCTGTTAGAAGTGCAGTGAGAGGGGCTCTTGTTGGAGGCTTGATCGGAGCTGCAGTTGGGCGATAACTGTCTTAACTGACTGAATGGCATAATGATTGTATATTTTGTACAACTCGCTAATAATGACTTATATCTAATTTGTCTCAACCACGAACATGATCAGTTGCTTTCCTCTCCAACATATTAGATGTACATATTTTATTTTGTTTGATCTCTTGATAAAATCATTGGAACGTTGAATTACCTCGTTTGCAAATGAACCATTTCTTACACCAAAAAAGCGTGTCATTATTTCTTTGAAAATCGAGAGCAAAAGAGATCGAACTGCGAACACAGGGATTTACGAGAGAATTCACTGCTTTAAAATATATTGTAGGCAGCTCTCACTAATGCTACAAAGGCACGAAATCATGAATTCTTTATCAGTCTAGGAGAATCTATGATAGTTCGCAGACGGTGCCGTCGCTTTCGCACAGCAGTAAATTTTGTTTCGTTTAGCCTTCATAATCGCAGCTGATAGCTCAAAACGAATGGCTTTATTTTGTGTACAAATGAAGTAAATGAGTAAATAAACCTTATCACGTACAAAATCGAGAAGACTTTCGAGATTGAAAATTTGCAGATTTCGTACACTGATAAACTGCGATATCCAAAACTAAAACTTTTACGGTCGTTGTGCAAATTCAGCGGTAATCCCAAGTATTCAAGTAAAGCCGAAAGCCTTCTAGATGAAGCGCTCCATGTCTCCGTTTATTTCTTTAAGAGTTTTTTTTCTTCAGATGATTGCTTGCGAAATATTATCTCCAAAAGCAATATGTGATTTGCAGTACACGTCGCTAAAAAATGAATCCAACTTCTTCAACATACGGAACAATTAAAGAGGGTACGGGAACGAACTCCACCAGTTAGAGCCGCCTCCGCGGACTACTGATCCTGCAACGACATGCAACAACATTGCAAAAGGAGCAGTTGCCAGCGGAGGCGGGCTCCAATTGGCGGAGTTCTTTCACCTACCCAATTTAAGAAATCTACTCTTTATGCCAATGTCAACTATAAGCATCTTAGTCGAATGATGATGGGAATGTTGTCATAGCGTTTTCGACGATCAACCTGCTCTCAAAGAAGCTTGTTGGTCTACTGAAAAAACGGGTTCTCTTTCCATTTCAACGAGATTTCGAGGACCTTGAAAAATCTCGCAAGCTCTACCTTGTAAAAGCTCGCTCTCTTGAGAGTCCTGATTTATGAGGTTAATTAGTTGGCTACAGGGAGTGGCTTTTTTATTATTAGAGGTCATTGAGTAAGCGACGGATGACATTGCCTTAGGCAACGTTTACCCGAAAGTAGGTCGGTTACTCAATTTGCCACCAGTATGGGTCATTCGGTCATCTCCCATCATTAACAGTGGTTGCTCGTCAATGCGCTCAATCTTCTTGGTGACCAGAGTGTTTTGTTTCATTCATCTCATCGATTAAATGTTTTCTAGCTTGAGGCAGCGTGAACACTCACTACACAATTATAAATTTACAGATTTCTACTTAACAGTAAAAATGCTTCTGCAGTTTCTGTTTCTTGTTCTTCTGACATCACTCCAAGTTGATGCTAGACCGCAATTCATGTATCCCGGAATGTATGGTATTGGAATGAGACCATACGGTATGATGTATCCAATGTATGGCATGAGGCCTATGGGTATGATGGGTATGGGAATGATGGGATTTAGACCATATAGTAGGCATTTATGCTTATTCCGATCTTTATCTTTCTGAGAATTTATGTTCAGATCCTGTAGGAGGAGCGATAAGAGGTGCCGTTGTGGGATCATTGCTCGGAGCAGCAGTAGGTCGATAAAAGGCCTGATGCGGTTCTATTGTGTATTTGTATACTGTTATTACTATTACGAGTATTTTGGCTATATGATAATTAATTTTGAGGCCCTGAACTGTCGTATTTTGCAATGAATATTTGATGTATATTATTGACCGTGTGAATATCTATTGCTCCTTGATTTATCACTTTTTGTATTCCATTATTTCCTTCTTAAATAAATTTTTCACTTTAAAAATAGCATAAAGATTATCGACATTGCAAGTTTTAGAAATACATAGTAAGAGACTTTCTGCTTTTAACAGGGCACACATACCGGCCCGATTAATTTCAATTAATTGAATATCAGCACGGAAATGTCCCAAATGATTTGGGAGAAAACATTGGTATCGCGCTAATTTGTGATGAGTACGCAGAATTGTGGGGCATTTGTCATGATTTGACATCTGATACTGCGGAAAACGGGGAACTCAAGTACTTGTCCTGTTTGTGAAACCAGTTACTGTTTGAGTTTTTCACTTATCGACTAGTTTTTCATACATTATCACTTACAAAATAGGCATCTCTTGAAGCTCTGACTCTCCGGATGTCGGTTTCGCTTGTCCAAAATTAGAAAATTCGGCCACCTGGTAGGCGTCTCACGGACCTCTTATGCTTGAGTAGCATTTAAATTATCGCATCATCGAAAATAACAAATTTATATGATTCAGACTTCTGATTATGTGCGTAGAAGTTTGTTTTTACTACTACAAATTCTTCTACGAATTATTTACCCGATCAAAAGAAGCTCTAAGAATAGAATTTCGCATGCAGCATTTAAATTTCTTGGTATCTAGGAGAAAGTTATTCAAGAATTCTCATGGACTTTCTGTTTAGCTTTAGTCATGGACTGTGTAGGAGAACTTCCTCCATATTTGAAAGGAGCAGAAAATTTTAGCACATGATGAAAAGCGACTGGTCATTTATTGAGTGATAACCAGCTTTGCCTTAATATTAATTAAGAGTAATGACGAAGTTTTGTAATAATTTTTTCAACTGTAAGAGAAAACTAGCAAAATAATTTTAACTTCTTCCACATTATTTTGCAAAAAGACTCAAAATTCTTGTGCAACTCTTTCATTTTGAATACATGGAAAGTCATAATGCGTAAAAGGAAGGGAACGAGTAACACTTTGTTTACATTTTTTTGAATCGTGCTACTATATCTTGTGCTGCTACGGGAGGAAGAGCTTCTGCCAAGCAAGTGCTTTTTGGTAGTGTTATCATGCTCAAAACTCTTCAAAGCCTCAAGTTCTGTTTTGTTCAAAATTAAGAATCGAATAATCGAAAATTGCGGAACATGCTTTTAATCCCGCATTCTACGATACGACTTGAAAAATTTGCTAATGCTAATACCGTTGTGAATATTCGAATGCGTCAAACTCGAAGCATAATGGAGACAGTACCTTTGCAGTTTTTGAATTGTGGCAAGTGCTGTCGTTGCAGACTGTCGAACTCATAACTGGCACCTTGGAAATAGTGGCAGAACAGAAAGTAAGTTTGACAAATCTTGACAAAGACTCTTCTTGGAATACACCTGAGAAGTACGCTTGCAGCATTAAGGGCCGGGCATACATCACGCGTCGCGACGCGATTTGGCAATTCGCCAGAAATCTACAGATTCAACACTAGCAAACTGCACATCCGTAGTGTGTATAACTTACGTGGCTTGATAAAATGTCCAATCTTCTGTACATTTGAAAGGTGTTTACAGTGAGTTTTTAACAGTTGGAATATTGCCAGATCTCGTCGCGACTGAAGTGTGAACTATGCCCGGCCCTTTAAAAGTTATGAATTTCATACCGATATAGATGACAGTAGACATACTGAATGTTAATGTAAATATTGTTATCGTATGTGTATTGTGAATTTCCATTCCTTTGGTCAGCTGTGCGCAAGAACCCAACCATAAGGCAGCACTTTTAGCACAGTGACAATATTTACCGGTGCGTTTGACAACCGATATTGATGTAGCACTTGTATCAGCTGTATTAGATACTTATTACATGATAAATAAACATACAGTAACATTTCCAGAACTGACAATTTTTAAAAATTTGATATTATAGTTAGTTTCATTTAAACCGGCGTCTGCCAGCCTGAAATCTCCAAATTATCGTATATGAAGACTTCAGCAAGGAACTTGGCTTCTATTCAGTGATCGATTTTTTTGGTGCACCTTTGTTGAATAAATAAATAAATTAATAAATATACGCCGTAACTATTGATGATTAGAAATCAAAAGAAATGGTTTAAATTGAAGATGATGCAATAAAGTTGGAGATTTGTTGTAAATTATTGCATAATTCTGAATTTCGAATCCAACAGAATTTCATAGACCAGAGTCTTATTTTCATTGACGCAAGCATGACTAGTGATCGAAAACTGTAGCCACAGTAGTTAGCATTCCTTTGAGAACCGAATAGCAAGACACCGTGTGGGAAAATAACTTCTTATTTTTGAAGAAAAGTTGCTCTTTTACTCGCTGCGGTATACATCGTAAAATTTGACATTTTTATGAGCAGCGAGATCCCACAACTATATTAGGAGGTCATTGTTGAGTTGGCATTAAGTTTGAAGTTTGTGCTTGTTCGAGATGGGATATCGACTATTCAAACTTCTGGATAGAAATGGACTAAAATTTTTTTTCCAAAAATCAATTTGACGAGGGTTCGCCAAAAGAAATTCTACTTGAATTTTATAACGGAGAGCTAAGTAACTAATTTCGAAATGCTGGTTTCATCAAGCTACCTCATCAATCGAATTTCTGTATGCACAGGATTCGAAGGTTTGTTTGTATAATCTACTGAAATCTGTTCCAATATGCTATTGTTCAAACGAATCTGTCATTCATTTTAATATTTAGTCTATTTAATCTATTTCCACAATATCGAAAGAGGAGGTTGTAAGGGTTTACAACCATACTAGAGTACATTTCAGTTGCAGTTATGACTGAAAATTCTTAAGCTCCCTAATATGACTATTAGCACAATATTACTTGATAATGTTTCAGAAAGATAAGGAAAGATGAAAACTGTCAGAATCAAAATCCTCGTTTTGTGATTGGCTAAACTACTCGTACAATTTTCTTGATTTGAAATGATAGGAGTATAGCTTGACAAACTTAAGTGCAAGCAGTTCCTTTACATGAAAAGGGTTTTGCTATTTTTACGTTGGAGGCATAATCAACACTAAATAGCGCACAATTCTAGAAATTTATCTTCAGCTATTTACTGCTGCTAAACTTTGATGGAAACTAGAAAGAATTTACAAATCAATCTCCTCTTCTACTGCCCTTCTAGGTTAGGCTAGTGAATAGTGCTAGGAGAAAAAGAAATTAAGAAAAACTTGCTTTGTCTGAACCTTCAGATTATTTCTTTCGAATCTTTGAAAATTTTTTTGTTTTCTCCAACTTCATAGCTGTCATAAACTGAGCAGCTTCTCCTAATCTTGAGCCCAAATATAGCCGTAATTCCTTAAAGACTCCAAAATAACATAACATATTATCGAATGCACTGGAAATGAAGAATTAGTTTGCTGTGGAAGTAAGCTATGATTTTAATGCCTTGTGAAAATAAGATTCTGCCTTGAAAAGTGAAAAATTTAGCTCAAAGATAGATTTGTGGGAAGCAACAATAATCTGTGTTTACATTTTGTACGCAGTTTTTTGCTTTTTCAACATAAATATTTCTATAGGCTCGAATAGAAAACACGTTCGACATTAACATTCTAGATAATTAGTCTAATTTGTAGCAGAGGTATACTTAATCTAAGATCTACTTCCTTTTACTTCTCACATTTGTAGATCTCTTGAAACATCTGTGAGAGTGAGATGTTGTGACACTCAAAATTCAATCTGAAACATTTTGATTTTTGGGGGTCTGGCGACGGTATTGAGTGCACCAGACTTGGGCATAATCAGTATTTTATGAAATCATTAATGGGGACAGATCTGATTTGTCGCTTATTCAAATCTTAGTGACGATTGCTGTAAATCATCAAGTCTAAGCAAAAAGTAGCTCTTTCTGAGATATATTAACTCATTGCACATCACGAAATATTGTGAAAAACTGTTTTTTTGCAGGCGACAAAATTCTTTCTGTTAGAGATCGTTGAATTGATAACTCAAGCATATACGGGGTGCCCGTACCAAAATAAGAAATGTATAAGAAGCACAGTGTAGGTATCGTAGTTCTTTATCTCAATGTCAGCTGCGTCGGGCGTTCACCATCAAATTTGCATTTTATCTGTCACCTTCTTCTAGCACGTGTTCCCATCTTATACTAGGCTGTTGCATAAGTTCTGTCCGATTTGAATTTTTGAGTTTAAAATGTCATAACTTCTTTCAGAGTCAACTTTTTTCCAAGGTCTTAGTTTCTATGTGTTGAGCAGTCCCTTGGCTAAAAAATGCATATTGAGATCTGCGCAAATCTTTGTTAAGGAAGAACCAAGAATGCAAAAACTTCGCAGCGTTTTTCTTCGAATCTTTTTTTGACATGGTAACGCTCCCTTATGAAAATTGATAGGCATCTTTTCTAATAATGGATGGATAGAGAAATTTTCGTAGATTATTATGCAACATAAAAGAGCCCATAGGGTTTGCGCTGCCGAGAGATTTTCTTGACCGAACAAAAAATTAGCCACTTTTTGACCTCGCTTCAGCACATGTGTGCATGCCTATTTATGAACTACGAACGTTTTACAACTGACGTGAGCGCCGAAAAGGAATTGGTGGATGGGCCCTGTTAGCTCTTGCTTTGCCCTAGCACCTCCAACTTTGAGCTTGTCGATTACTTCTATTCGCAGAAAGTTATTGCTTGTAAAACATCTATACCAAAGATTTATGTTCGAGGATAAATTTCACTAGCAAGACGTATTCTTCATGGGACCGAATTCTGCATATACTAGCATTCCATACCCTTATTCCGAAGCCAATGAAAGAACCTGACTTGAAGGGCGCATTGTGGAGATATCCTCGCAAGGACATATTTCTAGGGATAGAACGTACCTCGGCCACTTAGAGATTTTAGGCCTGTGATCTCCGTACACTAAGAACTTTATTGAATTCTGGTATGCTTTAGAAAGCGCAAGGAAAGCACTTTTCAATGATACCAACCGTATCGAATTAGAGATGAAATTCTCTTAGAACAGCTGCTTCAAACATGAGGCAAAAAAATCGGACAGAACTTATGCAACAGCCTAGTATATAAGCTGAATCAGGGTCAAGCATGTTGATGCGATCCGGGATCCTCATTTACGATCCCCCCCCCTTGAAGGTACCCATCCGTACAACCCCCTTCCCCCTCCCCCGTCCCCCCCCCCCCCCTTCACCCTCCCCATTTATCCCCTCACCTCCTCTGCCCACATTCCTCGCGGTAACCTGCATAAATAAATGTCAATCTCAAAAAATACCTGTGTGAGAACTTCAGTGAGGCTTTGGAAGCAGAATTTCTAGGCCAATGGGTGCGCCCCAGCATCTGTAGCACAAATACACATTCAATAATGTTTGAGAATCTGCAGGTTTTTTTTTGAATTTTTAGGCATACTTCAGGCCAGCAAATTCGTTTCCCGAAAGCGACACAAATTTTTGCACGGAGAAAAAAAATGACATTCTTGAACTATAAAAGATGTTTTCGACTAAGAAGCTTACTCTCTACCTCTTGCACAGTTTTTTCTGCGAAAAAAAAAACCGCTTTAGCGCCATCCAGAACGGTGTCAAAAACGTGCATGAGCACGGTAGCTTGAAAATTCGTAACTAAGGCTAGGAAAAGAGTGAGAGGCTGTAATGAACAGGTTTTGTAGTGTAGTGCGAATACTATTCATAAAAAAAGTTTCAGCCCTTGAGGAGCAGTAAGCTCGAAAAAATTTAGATGCAACTCGCGCAAGTTTAGATCCTAAAAAGCAAAAACTGGGATTTTTGAGCTTAAAATTTTGTAACTTACCAGAGAAATTATAAAACAGCCTGCAATTTTTATGAGGGAAAGTAGGAGGATGGTCTCATATTATAATACTGCAAAATAGCTAACAAGCTTCGATAGCTCCGGAGAAATTTAGATAAGGCGCAGGTACGACTCCCCTATTCTCATTTTTTGGTACCATACATAAAATCATAAGAAAATCCACAGTTAACCAAATGACACCAAAGTTTGCACTGATGCAGCAAAGCATCTCCAAAGTGCAGATAAATCATATGGATCCGTGAAACTATTACAAAAAGATTTAGAAATTCATGATGGTCACAGCTGGTAAAGATATGTTGAGTGTGTGAGACTTCAGGAAGGCTTCAGAAGCAAGATTTCTAGGGCAATCGGTACATTTAACATTTTTATCAACTAATACATCCTCCAAAGGGGTTTGGAGCTCTTGTAAGTGTTTTTCTTTGAGAATTTTCACAGATTTTTATCTTTTTTATTCCGATTTCCACTTTTTTTGTAAGTTTATCGTAAAGAACATAACTAATTATCTGCTTTTTAATTCCCTTTTAAGCTTAGGGTATCTTAGCCTAACTATCTCCTCTTACGACCCCCCCCCCCTTCCGCCCACCTTAGATACCCTCTTTACGACCCCCCGTTGCGACAGTCGCATCACAAGCTTGACAATGAGCTGAATGTCTGTTTGTCTGTATGTATGTATGTCTGTATGTGCGTATGTTCCGCATAGAAATTTTTGTTTCTGAACCGATCCGGACCAAACTTGGCACACATACACTTCGGGGCGGGGCGGGTGTTATAGGCTTACTTTTCGTCACCGATCGATATCGATTTTATCGACTTTTATCGATGGGGCTGAGAGTTGGCACAGGGGGGGGTAAGCGAGCATGGCGATTCCGAATACAATATTAGTTTTCGGAATTATCGATTTTATCGATTTTATCGTTTTTTTCAAAATTTGAGCTGAAGGGCTAAGAGTTGGCACAGGGGGGGGGGGGGTAAGTGGGCATGCTGATTTCGAAAACAACACAGGAACGGGAAATGAAGTGTAGAAGTGGGCACAGGGAAAGGCTGTACAGGGATAGGGATGGATCGTTATTACAGTGTTTTGACAGGGCCGGGCGGAGCCGGGTAAGCCAACTAGTAATTTATAATCAAACAAAAACATTGCTTTCTGATGAGCTTAAAGTACTGCTCTAGGATGAAGTTCAATCAGCTGGGGCTACAATCAACTTACAGTGTATGAAAATCCAGTTAACTCGACTATTTAACTAATATTTGAAGTTTTCATGATTGTAGTTTGGAGTGTGTCCTCGAAATGAAATCGCATACCATGGACATACATAAATAGTACTTATAGACCTTTGCTGTTTGAAGTGCAGAAAGCTTGGTTCAGTGTTGACGCAGATTCGCAGATGGCGCGGACGGGTTGATTTTTAAGCGTCGTAGACGGGACAGTATATCATTCCTTCTGGTCGGACTCTCAACGTGTTCTCAGTCTTCATATCCTCTCATAACTATTATATATCAATCTATTCCTAATAAAAGTATTTTAAGTCTGGAGCACCCAGGAAGTAGCATTACCAGTCTAGTTCTTAGCCCCAAAACCAGAATGCAAAAAAAAAAGATTTACCGCATTAGCTTCTTGAAGAGCGTCCTTTGTTGCCACTTTTATGAGAGTTTTTTCTATAGATCACTGTTCCAGGCAATGCTTTGCTTACTGATACTGTACGCGGTGAGTCATAAGTGATCATAAATAAGTCAACATACACGAATATCTATCGGATACTTAGCTTCTGCCACTGTCATCATCGAAAGCAGCAGGTCTTTGTGAGGAAGAGGTATTAAGGGAACTACAAGTTGGATTTGAGAGTGTGATAGGATACCGAGAATTTGAAGACGTTAGTTTTAATAGGTTACTCACCTTTTGCACAAATATTGGGTTGGTCCGGAAGTTTTGTCGCACTGTTTCAAGCCCTATTTCCTTGTCGTAGTAGCCTTACATGACATTAATACTGCTAGAAAGAGTGAATTGCGTACTTGCTAAGCTCTCTACCAATAAGGGAAGCTTTTCTAGTGAAAGTGACTTTTACAGTTGAGTTCTTTACCAATCTGTAGAGCATTATACGCTGATTACAGATCTGTTTTCGAACTGCCAAACGCCTGTAGAGGCCGAGCTACGAGTGTCTTTTAGAGCGGAATATGAACTTAAAATCAAGCCATCAATTGATACGGGCTTTTCAGCAATCAAAGCAGTGTTGGGTATAGTAAATTAGATAGAGGGTATGAATTGAAAAAAAAAGTGTTTTGACAATAACACTGAACGATTTGTGCAATTATGAATGATTGCCTTCGTTTGAGCATCCAATTTTCAGCCAAAAAAATTACGATTTTCAAGGAAAAATGCCAAGAAAGTCAAGTTCTGCTTTTCGGACATTCTTTTAGAAATCAAACATTTCCAGGAGAAGCTTGCTCAGTTACAAAGAGGGAGTCAGAAAACTCATATAATTGTGCCTGTTTTGGATTTTATCGCACAGTTTTTAAAATTTCAACGGGATCGCCCAAATCACCAATAGTCAAAAGGCTGCAATTTTCAACTTTATTTCTGCAATAATAAGTAAAATTAAGCGAGGTGCCATTAGAAAGTGATTTACTCTGTCTCATAATATCAAAAACAATCAATAACTTGTGAATGGATGGAGGCACGGTTTTTTTTTTTGAAAGTAACGCGATAGAACCTTCGGACCACCCAATGACCAACCTAACTCAACCCAATTTACCTGTGACAAAGCAGAACTTTGATTAAGTGGTAACTTTGTTCAGTTCGATGCAGACGAAAAGAAAGTACCTTATTGGGGTCAATCGAAGGTGGATATCCCAATGTTCCTCAATACCAGGTACGTTTGTGGGCATAACGAGGGACATAAAATGTAAGAGAGTTTCAGTGATATATTAGATATAGAAGACTATTCAATGGAAGCGGAAGGTGTCATGAAGCAAATCTCCCCAAAGAACGTAAGTATAATAAGTTTGTCTGGTCTAACACAAGTTCAACTGTTAGTGGTCGAGCGTAACATGATTTGCTGTAAGAGAATGCAAAGCAAATCATCATAGTCAACCGATCTTCTTGATCAAATTACCAGCAAATGCTGCTGTCTTTTTGTAATATTTAGAAGTTTCACAGATCTTCGATATTTCCCAAGTACATTAGAATGCAATTTCAACAGTGAATTTATACAAATTTTTGATACTTGAAGACCAGTTATGCGAGAAATATAACGAAAACATATTTTATCTAGTTAATCAATTCTGGAAAGCAGCTTGCACTGTTTTTGATTATATATGAACAGATAAAGGCTGCCTGCAAATCTCAAACCTTATTTTGTTGTGTGTCCTTTCGTCAAGTATCTGATTTGTGATAGCATAAATTTATGGGTAATTTATGGGTTATTATTAACGTAGCTCTGCCTCAGTGCATGCTTGAACAAAGATGATTCGGTATTATTGTAAAAAGAAGTCAGAATTAAATGAAAAATTGAACCGTAGAAGGCCTACAAAAAGGAGCTCCGCCGTTTTGTTGCATCAAACGTATTTCAGAGGGACTTGTTGAGATATAGCCTCTTCTTCACCTGCTACTGTCACGAAAGGGGTGAAGTGGTGGATGCGGCCGACAACTGTCTCAAAAGTCGTGATTTGATAAATGAGAATTGGATGAGCTGCCATATCAGTAATCGACCAATGACCGAGAAAGGAAACGAGCAAGAAGAGCTAGAAGAGAATGATAACATGATAAGAGAATATTGAGTAATACAGCAAGCTATATAAATTGTTGTATGTTTGTTTGCACAGGGCAGGGGCATTGTGATATTGACTTCTCACAAATAAAGAGGGAAACAAATCAGCACTGATCATATACTGGTACACCATATCAAACACATCGCATCATATCATATCATATCATGTCATATACGATATCTGATCAAAAAAATAGACTCTTTCCATGCCTCAGCATTCTCTGCTCACAGAATGCTGGTCTACTCGGGCTTTCATTTCCATGCTGGACTGCGAGTGCTTTTTTATTAGCATAGCTCCACCTCAACCCCACTCGGCCCTAAATCACGCTTTACTGCCATCGTTTGCACTTATCTTTAAAAAAGTGGCTTGATTGTGGTTGATGAAAAGTCAATTTCAGTTCGAAATGCTAAAGGACGAGTTGATAGAATGGCAAGCTGATCACACCAAAGAGTAGTTCAAAACATTCATCGGGCCGAGTATGTATGTGCGCAAATTTCACCTCAATTGGTGCATGCACAAAACCGTTTATACGTAATATATCAATTGCACACATACATAAAAATTCTCTGCTTTTGCGCTTCGTACATGGTAGATTGAGAAAATCGAGCTTTCTATATCTGAGCATTTCTTTACAGGAGAACTTTCTGACAAATGAGTTGTTAAGCACTTGTGATGCGTGGACAAATGCTCAATGCTTTCATAAAAAAATCAGTGCCAACCTTTATTCCAACCCTTCGTAGTCCCGTTATCTAGAGTCTATCTGCTTGAATGGTATAATCATCGTGTACAAGAATAGATTGGATTTGAGGGTATTGCTTACGTTGTTCTACTCAATCCCAAATTTCGTGTAAGTTTCCACTACAACCATAGCAGCATGCATAGGATGATAATAAAAGGTCCAAGAAGATTTTTTGTCTCATAAATTCCTTATTTTGGACCTATTTTTTGACCAACCAACCGACCGTGGTTACTGATGACTAGCTGGCTTACTCAACCCGCTAAAGCTCAGCACGCATAATGGTAGAAATACAGCCTGTGTGGTCGCGAGAGTCGCTGAGTTTGCGGTGAGCACGCCCACCGAGCTTCTTAGGGCCGCATGCACTAACATCCCCGCGGGGAGGGGATCGCAGCTTAAAAGAAAGTTTTATATTTCGAAACTCCAGATACCTGGATTTCACGTTGTGTACCTATCCGTAAGTATTCCTACTACCATTCACTATGAAAATGATGAACAGGAGCGAGAAGCTGTGCGAACTGCATTTTCCAGCTTTTGTATGATCCCTGATGATCCCCGGCGCTTTTTGTTGAAGTCATTTTTCTTTCTCCAAAGTTAACGAAAAACTTCCAAAGCTGTGCAGATTATCTAACCCAGCATGCTAAGCATGTTGCTGATAAGAACAAATGATGTTTAGAAGTCATGAAATTTTCGATGATCCATCCACAGGTCGAAATTTGAGGTTTACCGAGAAATCGACTTTTCAAAAACTCATTTGTTCTCATCAGCAACATGCTCAGCACTGTTGTGTTAGATGTTCAGTACAACATTGGAAGGTTTTCGTTAACTTCGGAGAAAGAAAAATGACTTTAAAGAAAAGCGCCGGGTATCATCAGGGATCATACAAAAGCTGGAAAATGCGCTTCGTACAGCTTCTAGCTCCTCTTCAACATGTTCATAGTGAAGGGTAGTAGGAATACACGGATAGGTACACAACGTGAAATCCAGGTATCTGGAGTTTCAAAATATAAAGCTTTCTTTTAAGCTGCGATCCCCTCCCCAGCGGGGAAGTTAGTGCATGCGGCCCTTAGTCATCCTTCTCCTTTCAAACGCTTAGCTATCAAATATCAGCTTCCAACCTGCAACGATGGTGAAAGGTACTGGACCTTTGATTGGTGTGAGGTCTTGTAGCATTCTGCGAGTGAAATTGCCGCAAACTCACCGACTTCAGCGATCACGCAGAGTCCTATAACTACTGTGCTCTACATCTCCTTTTCTTTATTAACGCGAGACTTCCCTCAAAAGCCCAGCAACTGCCTCAAATCTATATCGATTAGGACCGCAGAAAATTTGGGGTTTATTTATTGGTAATTTGCATTACAAAAAATATGCAAAAATAAAGTAATTAAAGAAAATAAAATAATTGAATATTACGAATATAATAATAATAACTACGAGTATAAGAATGACACAAAACTCGATTAAAGAAGCTACATAAATTTAGTTCTCTCCAACAAGAAAGATAATCACAGTTACGGAATGACTTCATAAAAGATATAAAATATTGATTACTGAATAGTTTCCTTGTACAAATCGTCGTGACCTGTAGAGCAGAAGAATATTTAGTGATGGGGAAAGCAGGTAGAAATACCTAAGTAGTTCAAATGTTACAATAAACTGTGCCAGACAAGATGGTATAGAAAAGAACCAATATATTATTGATGCAAAAATGTCAATTTTCCGAACCTTTTTTGGCAGCTTTTTTCCATCAAAATATCTTTTTTAGGATAGGTATAGCATATCACTGAAAAGCTGTTTCCATGTTCTATCTAACGGTGTTTGAAGCGGGCTTCCAACCTCAACTGCTAAAAATAACTGCATTCAGAAATCACTGCATTCACTTTGTTGGCCACAATTCAAGAGCGCATGAATGATGCTTCATCAAATATTCAGCTGTTGTATGTAATAGATATGAAAATGAAAATGATATTATCAACATTATGCATACTGGTAGCCGTTTCGGTCATCTTATGAGCCATAATTTTTTTTGAAGAATTCAGTCTCTAAAGCTTCGTTCAAAGCCTAAGGCTAGGGCATCCTATGAGCAGTTTTTGCAAGAATATTCGGCTGTTCATTACGCAGAGAATCAGAATATTTCATGTTCGAAGGCTCTGAGGCATACTGAAAAATGTTGAAAACTGGCAATTTTGATTTAAAAATTTTTCTTTCGCATTCTTTTGTACAAACTTCTTCCATCGTGTTTTGTACTTCTGGCTTGCATATCTGCCAGTAGTACAAAACATAATTTACTACAAGATATGTAGTAAATTATCATTCATACTAACTGCTGTGATTGTAACTGATCAGTTGTACCTCATAGTAATCTGCCTCGCATAGTTGATCGCAACCTCAGAGTGCGAGGGATTTAAGCGCTATAACAGGCGCTCACTCTTCGCCTTATCAGTTCTACAGTTCTAGTACTCACTCATTCGCCTCCCTTATTTTTACTTTGCTATTATTCTCTGATAAATATTACTGTGTGCCCCCTGTGCTTCCACCCAGAACGAAGACTTCATCAAAGTGTCCAAAGCTGGACAAAAAAACGTTCAAGAAAATCATAAGTTGTCAAAAATAAGTTTATAGAAAACAAGCTTTTTTGTTTTTCAATCCATATTTTTCTGCCCGTTTGTGATGTGATTTCAGCTAAATGTGCGATGTATTGCAAAAGGTTTACTGCTTCTAGTGGTTTTTAATGCATTCAGAAATGTGGTTTTTTTTTGAGTTACAGCATGTCAAACTGAGAATTGCAAAAAGGCCATTATTTTTGCGTCAACCTAATAGAGTAGGTTGAATTCCGAATGCCTGACTCACAGCTATAAGCCTGCAATCAGAGCATCGTGCTCAGGAGAATACAAAGAGTTCTTGGAGGCAACTTTTGAATTTTTTCCTGTCACCGCATTTTCGGCAGCGTTTTTCATGCTTTCTATGACATCATTAATGATATGATCCAAGAAGTTGATGTCTATTCAGACTTTTACCTCTATAGGGTTAAGGCTGCTCCTTAATTACATATGCGTGGCCGTGATCGTTACCATGAACCGCCGTTTGTCGAAGCACAGTACAGATCCTAGACTGCGTGCAAAGGTGCCAATGTCTCGTACTGCTCCCGCCGCAGGATTATGGCTGTGTGCTATAATTATCAAGATTCGATGCTTTGAAGAATATACTGTAATATACCGAGTGTCCCAAAAAGATGTGCACACTATTTGATCGTTAATAACTCTCTTGCTTTCATGTCTTTTGCCGAGCTTGAGGTACCATTCTGTAGAGCGAGGACAAACTTAGATTTACGCGATGGAGCGAATCACCAATCGCTCTTCGTTACTGTAGGATCACGGTATGAGCTTTCAGCATACAGCGTCACTGTGGACTAAGCCTTTTTGATGACACACAACTTTCCATCAATTTTCGAGCTTTCTTGATGGCGTATTCACATTTCTGACAAACATTAAAAAATAAGTTGTTACCCTAAATCTGAAATAACTCATGAAAGAAACATTGTACTGACGTCCAGTTTTCACATTTAGAATCACCAACTTCGTTAACCCAGTCCAAGAGTTTCTGGCTTGTTTGGCTTTTTTTCTGAGGCAAAATACCGCTTTCAATGGCTCAAAATCCTCCTCGAAATCCCTACCGTAATCCTACAGTAATGAAGAGAGGCTGTCGATTCGCTCCATACTGTAAATCTAAGTTGAACCTCACTCTAAAGAATGGTACCTAAAGCTTGGCACAAGACATGAAAGCAAGAGAGTTATTAACAATCAAACAGTGTGTACATCTTTTTGGGACACCCTGTATTAGGATGTTTGGAGAGATGCAGACCGCATATAAGATCTCTACTGAAGACTTAAGACAAGGCATCTGAAAGGAGTTTCAAAAAATGTGAGGAAAAATGCAGCAGCTAAATTTTTTCTTCACCCGTTCACGATCAACACTACCATCCCTATTGGAAACTCTAGCCCTAATCTGGAGAATGCAATTGATCTTTCCAAACGATCAAGCAAAACGCATTCTTGTAGGACCACAATGGCGACCTATTTCTGCTCACGCGATTAGCGCAACGGGCGTTAGGCAATCCAGACAAATTTGAGAATTCGAAATTTACATTTTCGCGAACATTTACCACTGTCATTGAGCATGACAGTCTTGTTAGAATAAAAGCAAAATTCTTCTTTTATGTAGTAGTTTTTGTCTTATTTGATGGTTTCAAGGCACACAACTCTTGGAATACAAG